TCATTGATTGAATCTAAAATAAAATAAATAAACAAATAATTTTAATAATTTTTTTATATTATTTTTAATATTCTTTGTCCCTTCTCTTCAACTTTCTTTTTTTTTAATTATTATATTATTTTTTTATATTTTTTTTATTATTTTATTTTTTTATTATTTATTTTTTTTCATTCAAGATTTTCTAATTCGTTTAAACGTTCAACTAATCATTGACTAATCGCATGCCTTCTTCTTTTATTTTTTTCTTTTCTAAGATATACCACCCTTTCTTTTAAACATCTCATTACTCCCCGAATATCCATCATTTCACAATCAATTTCTTCAATCGATTTATCATCAACACTTTCATCTCTCCTAAATTCTAATACAAATTGAAAACATTGACTTCTACGACCATATTAAGATTCTTCGTGATCTGAATTTCATCTATGTTGAGACCCATTTCGCCTATGTCGATGACAACGACTTTGATGACCCCGCGAATGTAATCATCGATTACTTGGATAATCATTCCGCGAATATGACCGTTGATTACTTTGATCTCGTGAATGTGATCTGCGGCTTCTTGGATAATCATCTCGTGAATGTGATCTGTGGATTCTTGAATGCTCCTTGGAATTTCTTTGTAAAGATATTAAAGATATTTCACTTTGTTCACAAATATCTTGGGTTTTCTGAACATTATCCATTACATTATTTATGCGGAAAATTCAATCTTTTTATATAAAAAAAATCATTACATTTGATGACGATAATTATAAAATATATCTTAAAAATAATGATGTAAATCAAAATTAATTAACATTTATTAATTATAAAAACATGACGACGTTAATATTTATTAATTAATTATGAAAACATGACAATAATTATGAAAATACGTCTTCACATTTTGAATTCATTATGACGATAATTATAAAATATATTAAAATAATGACATCAAAATTAATTAACATTTATTAATTAATTATAAAATCATGACGATAATTGTAATGATATGATAATTATAAAATCATGACGATAATTGTAAAGATACGAAAATTATAAAATCATGACAATAATTGTAATGACATGATAATTATAAAATCATGACTTAAAAATTTACCATATTATGAAAATATATCATTACATCAAAAAATAATGACTAAAAAATTATTTAAATAATATTACAA